TACGCATCTAAGATCTGATGCATATCTCTGGCAGAAACAGTAATAGGAAGGAATTATCAATGTGTGTTCTCAATACACTCCTATCTTTATGTTTTCATTTGGAATAGCAAGTAAACATTAACCACGATTCAACATTACTGATGACGTGCCATATAATCATTTACAAGACCATCTTTTCAACAAAAGTTGGTAAATTAGAAACAACAAAACCCATGGAAAGCTGACCTGTGTGAGAAGAAGATTCCTCTTCTTAGGAAGTGATGGGCTCTCTGTCCCGAGACTTTTTCTATTCTTTCCAACAGCTCCTTGTCAATTTTACTGCTGCCAAACCTCACTAGGGAGTGACATCACACATTCACCAGTTATTCATCTTAAATTACCTCATATTAATGTATTAGTGAAGTACAGCTCTTGAAGTGAAGAATTAAAGCTCATTGAAAAACCCACCTATGAGTTTATCATAATCTACTCCTTTGGTGCTGGAAGCAGAAACATTCCACGGGTCAACTAAGTCTTCTCCATCACAGTCATCTGCTGCAGGCCCATTGTTTGACACAATCAGGTTTTCTGAAGGTGGACATCCTGCCTTATAATCTTGGCCCGTCATCTGTTTATAGTCCACTTTCAACTTTAGCAGCAGCTGGACAGCAGCATCGATTTCAGCCTGGGGAAACAAAACAATTGTATTAGATGATAGATATCCCAATAGAAATGACACAGTGACAAACTGTTGTAGAAACAATGGTTTTTTTGTATTAATATGTGTGTGTGACCCCTTCTTATTCTGTTGAATCAGTGTTGCATTTATAGCATGTACACACTGGCCAATTTTTTTCTTACTGCTCTGCGTAAGTCAGTAAATAAGATTCCTTCTAAATCAACGGTCTCATGTTTACTGCCTGGAATCTACATGCAGCAACACCTGATTTCTCTATCTGAGGAAGCATGTATACCTGAAGGTGAAGTGGAGAGAGTGAGAGAAAGATGTCTACATTACTAAAGCAAAAAAGAAGGACAAAGTCAGACTGTAAAAGACGATTTCCGAAGTCCGAGGAGAAAGCCAGACGCTCAAGTTGTTAAAAAGAAAGTTTGGACTGATATGAAAACGGACTTCAACAAAAAGAAGAAAAAAGGTGGAGGACAAGGAGCATGTGATCTTTCAGCCCTAGATGAGAAATTAATTGCAATTAAAAAACAAAAACCCACATAAAAACAAACTCTCCTGATTCTCCAGCATCCATGGGATGCCAAGGAATTAGGATATAATTGATGACATCCAACATTGATATAAGTTGTTTTTTTAATGAAAGATAAAATTATTTGGAAATGTTTAAAAGGTTAAAGCCTACAGCTTTCCATAACTATAGTTTTCTTTACATGGAATTTAAAAAAATGCAATAATAATTCTGTGTATTGTGTGGCTCATGTTGCTTTGGAAAACTGTAAACAATGGTCGACAGGCAACAACACTAACAACAATAATATTAATAATAACAAGACATTATTATTATTATTTAGTATGATTATTATTATTGGTGGCAGTAGTCATTTTAAAGACCAGGTTTCCATTTGTGTGTTCGTGAAGTGAGTGGGACTTCTAATTTCTTCTGTAAGTGTGGACGACTTCAGGTATAAAAATATTGATATGTCACCAATTTGTTTGTGAAATGTTCATTCATATGCATGATTTATGCACAAATTTGTACATATCCACTGTTAGCAAATGAGGAGCAATGTCAGAATTACAGTACATGTAATTACAATACACCCATCAGGAGGAGGTCCTCCCTTTGCTGCCAAAACAGGCATGGACACCAGACCTCTGAGGATTTAATGTGCAGTCTATCATAATATTTTTGAATGGACCCTCAATGCTCATTGGAGTGGTCAAATAGTGCCATTGCCATGGTGGTGTAACGGTGGCACATGTCAAAGTAACATCCATTCCACATGAATACCAGTCAAAATTTTCATAGTAATACAATGATCAATGATGACCAGTGTGGTGAGTAGGGCTGCCACAAATGATTATTTTGATAGTCGACTAGTCACCGGATATTTTTGCAATTAGTCGACTAATCAGATCATGCATCCATTGGACGTAAAACATACAGCTTATTGCACCAGCATGCATCTGCTCTTATATAACTATCATCAGTGTTGGGGAGTAACGGAATACATGTACCGTCGTTACGTATTTAAAATACAAAATATGAGTAACTGTATTCCGTTACAGTTACCGTTTAAAAAGGTGGTATTCAGAATACAGTTACTTTGTTGAAATAAATGGATTACACTGCGGTACTTTCCTGTTTCATTTTGTCGCGGGTCAGGACTGTTTGGGTTTTGTTTGACAGCTACGTTCTGTTGTTCCAGGCGGCAGCGTTACGGTTGCCATGGTTACAGGGCGCCGCTCTCTCTCTCTCTCTGCGACTGTGTGTTTCCTGGGTGAGAGAGCGCCTTTTCGTTGCTGTTGTTGTTGTGCTAAGCTAACAGGCAGAATGCTACAATGCTCTAAAGAATGTAGCATCATGGGCAGTGTAGTCCGTGTTGCAGGGAGAATGGACTGCCATACACGTTATGGGTCTGTGAGCGCGAGGAGGGAGAAAAAGGGGAGTGGAAAGGTACGAGTTGTCATCGAGGAAAAACGGGAGCTGGAAGCATGTAAATATAATAATAACCACTGCAGCCAAGAAGAGTGCCTGATGAGCCCAGTTGTAAGTAAGCTATTAAGACTCGACTGTACACCGTGTTCGTGTTTTCCTCCGAAAACAATAAGTTCCGTTGGAGCAGTCTTTCAACGCCTCTCTCTGTCTCTCGCAAGAAAAGTTGACCCACACAACAAAGTAAAGCTATTTTTCGGCTACAAGCCGACAGGGACCCCACTGTATTAGCCAGAGGTCCCTTTACTACAGTTCGGAGTCGCGGACCTTCAGTAATAGTAATAAATCACACAGCAATAGTACATTCACGTTGTTGTAAAAAGCATGATAATATATTAAGTAATCCAAAGTATTCAGAATACGTTACTGTCATTGAGTAACGTAACGGAATACGTTACAGAATACATTTTGGGGCATGTATTCTGTATTCTGTAACAGAATACATTTTAAAAGTAACCTTCCCAACACTGACTATCATTAGCTTACAGCTTTAAGTGTTTAAGATATGTGCTAACTAAAAATAAAGACAAGATGATAGTTTATTAAATGTTAATGACATTTGCAGATTGTTTCGGTGAAGTTTAATAAACTTCTTGCTATCTAAAATATAACAGGACACCGGAGTATATTCTCGAGCATCTCATGCTCAGTTGTCTGCTTGACGTTTATTCAGCTGGTCAAAGGAGCTTGCAAAGACTGTGTAAAAACTATAACTTTAATCTCAACCAAACCGATTTACTCAGGAACAAATAAAATACTAAAAAAAGCCAAACAATAACATTTGTAAGTTATCTAAGTGACTTATATATGTTTAACCTGAGTAGCGAAAGACGGCAGTGGGTTTGAAAACGATTTGCCGGGAGTCCGGTGCTCTCATGGGCTCCAGTGAGCCTTGCCCCCGGCTAGCTATCGAGCTAGTGGGTAACAGACGTCTCCGAAAACGTCGGAGTGCTTTTGAAAATATGTGGTGTCTTGATAAACTGAGCAGATATTTTAGGTTCACACAGCTACATTCTGAAAATATGTTAAACGTTTATTTTGTGACACAGAAAGAATAATAAGACTAATATCAAAACTAACTAGCTGCCGCCATTGTTGGAAACTGAGCTGGGCTGGGCTGCGCTATGAATTCTGGGACAGAGCTACTTCTTCTTCTTCGGGGTTTAACGGCAGCTGGCATCCTTGTACATGCAGTGCTGCCATCTTCTGTTTCAGTCCGGTATTACACTCTTAAATCCTACTACTTATTCTTGCGGCTTTTGTGATCTTACAAAGCTTCAAACGACGCATCGACTATTAAATCAGTCATCGACGGTTTTGATAGTCAACGTAATCGTGACTAGTCGACTAATCGTGGCAGCCCTAGTGGCGAGTAACTTTAATGTTGTTGATGATCACTGTGTGTCACGATAGAAAAGAGTGTTCAGGAAAATCATCTGTTCACCCCTTCTGTGAATCTGAAATTACAATTTGCATTTGCACAGTGATAGAAATGTAAATCTCGAAAAACTCACTTTCTCTGCTTTAGCTGATTTCAAGGATCTGACTTTCTCTCCTTGAGCATTCAGTTTCTCGAAAAGCTCCATGGGACTCATGGTTCCTTCGCCATCGCCTTGACAGTCTGTCATCTTCTTCACAGCAAAATATGAAGTGAAAAATAGTTCATATCCAAATATACATGTCATAAACGAATGTTACATGTTCTGACAAGGATCAGTTTTATACCTAATCCAATTATCTTCTACAGAATGTGTGTATATACTTAAACAGCACCTGAGTTAACTGCCATATGCGAAAATAACAGCAGAGCTGGTAGTGCTAGCTAATCGTCCTATACTAAACACAAACTACACTTAGCTCATGCTGTCATGTTTAATAATTTATATAGTCATGTATCATATATCCAGCTCATTATATTTCTGATTAAATATAGTGACAAGTCGGTATACCGTCAGTATTCTTCACACGCAGTTGACAGCTCACTCATTCAACTTGCATCAGCCTGTGTGATGTAGTGTTTGGGTGAAAGTCTTCCCAGGCAAACGACCTTATTCATTGGTTCCGCGGCGAATTAACCCACCAGAAAAAAAGTACTACTTTGGGAATTCGCTTACGTGAATATTACACATATAAATTTTGATATATAATTTTCAGTTCGATTTCCTACGAAATCCACGAGTTTAATTAAATGTACAGAAATATAATACGTCGGAAGACAGAGGGAGTCGCTTCAGATCCGGCTTTTTCAAAATAAGAGCTTTTAATTTAAGTGAGCGTGTTATTTCAATTGGCAAACGGTAACAGTACTTTTATGCTGAAATGCTACATTTACTCGAATTGTTTTGCGGGATGCTGAACCTAAAGCATGACTGTATTCATGCTCTGTGCCGGAAAATGTGATTATTTCTGCAGAGTACAGGTACAATAATTAAGAATACAAACAACAATTAAATGGTAGCTTTCTGTGTTTATAGTCTCTGTTAAGTTTTCAAACATAGAGGCAAACGACCATAGTTAGCTACTTTTGCTATACTTGGTGGAAGGTACGACCAGTGCTTGTCATAGAGATGTTATTAATCCAAAATTCTTACGTCAAATACCTCCAATTAGCATTCATGCTAATTATACATGCGTGGCCGTGACCGTAACTGTATGCTATCCTAAGGTGGGAAGTTGACAAACCTGCCTTTTGCTGTCTCTGTTTTGGACAATCCAAGTGTGTAATCACCGTTAATTAACACGTAATGCTAACAGCTAGCTTTTAAAAAAGCATCGCATATGATTCCGAATCTCCCAAAACATCGCTTCATGTCCGTTTTTGTTATTAATAAAATGGTCAGCAACGTGTTTACATGAATAGTTTACCCCTAGTATCTTTAGCTGGTCTCTGGGGTATTATGTTAGAAATAGTCGGTAAAGCAAAACAAATGTTAAGATTTGTTGTTAAAATTCCAGGTTAAATTATTTTAAAACCAAAAGCTGCAGGTTTAAACCTTTAAAGAGTGACAAGCATGTTTACCACCTTTAGTTGCAGGAGTACATGTAGCCACTAGATGTCACCGTCGGGCCTCTAATGAAACAACTCATGCCTCTCTGTTTTCAGATTTTCATGTGAAGATGTCTTCATTAGTGGACTATGAAGATTCAGAGTCAGAGGATGACTCGCTGGATCAGAGAGTAGAAGGAGCAACAGATTCTGCTCAAACAGAAGAAAACCAAGACACTAATATTGTCAAGGTTATACCTTACCCTGGAAGATTTGTGTCTGACCAGACAGTGTGGGAATATCAACAAAATATGGCAGAAACAAGCAGGTCTTCACTCCATCCTCACTCCCAGCCACAGAGCTTTACTAACTCGAAAAGAAGATGTGGAGGTGCAGCAGATTTTAGAAATACTGAAACATCTTTGAATTTGCCTGATAGTCAGAGGGAGATGGCATCCCCGCAGGCTCTTCCATGCATGCCACAAAGTTTAGGCAATGCTGCAAACTTGGCAAAAAGACAGCAAACTGTCCCATCTGGTGTCAGACCGTATATCCCTAAGAGGAAGAGACTTGCCACTTCAGAAGGAGTGGAGCTAAAGCACCCAGCAGAGCAAGTCCTAGGGAATCAGGCCAGAGAAAGTCAGATTCTCTCAGATGTGTCAGCAAGACTGAAGCCATATCTTGCTCAAACGCCCAGCATGACAGGGATACCCAGGAGGCTTCTGATGAGCCTGGGAGGCCACCAGGGCCCAGTCAACACAGTGCAGTGGTGTCCTTTGCCCCATGTCAGCCATCTGTTGCTGTCTGCCTCCATAGACAAGACTTTCAAGGTAAAGAAAGCTACATTTGTTTTATAAATGATGTACAATAGTGAAGCTGTGGAAATACATCAGTAGTGCTATGCTTTAAATAATGTAGACCTGATGTGTTGTTTTCTTTTATTTAAACTGTCTCATACAATTAAATTAATCATTATATTTCCCCACTTATCTTTCTGTAACAGAATAGAATTTCAGTAGAAATAGAATAAAATATGCTATTTACTCTTGGGATGCTCCAGGTCCAGTTATAGCTAACTGCTTCATAAACATTGAAACGTAGAAACTATGCAGGGTTCAACATAACAAATAACCCTGCAGCCTGGGGCCATTAAAAAAGTATGTCGGTCAAGTTGATTGGCTAGCTGCTGACACATTTGGACCAGTAATGTTGTTTCCACCAATTGATTTACCTGTGAACTGGCTGAAATGGACCCTCACTGACGAGCGTTTTTTTCTTACCATCAATATGATCACATTAAAGAGGCAGTAAAGATCACAATCTGTGCGGATAGCTTACATGTGAGAAAGGTGACCTGCTCCTAACCACAGCTGCATTAAGAAGAAGCTAAAATTTATGCAGATAAACTGATATTTAAATTTGTCAGGGGAGCTGTGGCAGCCATCCACCATCTCTCTTTGAAGCAACAAAACCTGCGGCATGCAAGTGCTAATTCAGGCTTTGGTTATATATTTTTTTCTGATATGAATTTATAATCTGAAGACACAAATCTACTAATACATTATGCGATATGCTTATACATTCAGCTAGCAGTATATAAGTGAATCAATAATTGGCTTTTGTTTGTGGGCACCATAAAAAGTCTGATCTGCTGGTCTGTTGGCCCAGTGGAGAAAAATGCTATGTTGACAGGTTTCAGCTTTCATGTGGATATATATTGCTCATCCAAAAACAGTTGTTTAATCTGCCACGAGGGTACTGTGTCCATACCTCTACAGCAGAACTTACCCAGCATGCAAGCTGAAGCTGCGAGCGCTAAGACGATACTTGCTTACCTGACATGTAGTGTAATTGGAAGAGATACAGTGTCTGTCCTGCTGCCTCAATTTATAAATATACAATGTACCACTTTCTTTAGAATCATATCTGTCACTGTGTGTTGAATATATGTCAGGGCCCATGGGCCCTGTCTCTCCTTCCCGATTTATCTCACTGTTTGTATTCTACCTCCCTCTCCTTTTCTCTGGTTCACACCAGGAAAACACTCCATCATCTCCCTGTTGTAAAGGTCAAGCAATGCAGCTAACTGCCTGCTATCGACTAAATATGTCTGTCCCATCATAAAATCAAATACTGCCCCAATATCCTGTGAGGATTTTGAATAATTAACGATTTAAATATGAATGACTATATTTGCATAATCTTACAAGTGCAGCGGTATGGTAGCCACCTCTTCTGGCACCTGGAAAGGGTTGTTTGGAACAGATGGTGGAGACTAGCAGAGGAAGGGAGGAGAAGACCCGTTTGTTTGTATGCATGGATTATCTCTTCTTCTCTCAGGCTGTCTAACCAGGCGTTTTCTGTGAAACCAGTAAATAGAAGAAGTTCTCATACTTATCGTCGAGGACTGTGACAGCATTTTGAAATGTGGAATTTCAGCATCAGACAATGAAATGAAATAAGTATTTCATTATATTAGATTTGTTGACAAATTCAGGTACTTCCAGGATAATTATTTTTTTTATAGTAATTTGATTTTTCTATGTAGAGAAGAAAAATCTTTTTCCCAAAAATATTTGAATTATATTAAATTAAATTACATTACATTTAATATAATTTTAAAAACTCAGTGAAAAGAAGAATGATCAATAAAAAAGTCAATATCTGTACTTAAAAAAATTCTAATAGGAAATTCAATTTTGCATAGCAACAAAACCGGAGCTTCCATTACTCCCATTTAAAAATAGGGTTATTTTATATTTAGATGTTTTATATTTTTTCAATGCAACTGATACAAATATAGTAACTCTGTGGCTATCTAACTGTATCCTGTGTAACCACTTCTGTAATATACAGATTGATGGATTAAGATTCAGGTCTTTTCCAAAGCAGTTGGTGTGATGTGGTGGTGATGGTGCAGAGCTCCACTGCTCCATATAAAACCAAATCGTCTGAATTTCACAAAGTTCTGCAAAAATCTATGAATCAGTCAATCTTCAAAGAAATGTTTTTTATTTGGTAAAAGTATCTGTAGTTTGAGATAACTACAAGATGGTACTGATTATTTCACCGCTTATTACATATTTAATTGAATATTCTGTACTTAAGATTTCAATTGATCAGTAAAGAAAGTAGTTGTCAGGAGTTCATCGATTGATCTGGTAATCATTCGGTTTAGGGCTGTAACCTTTCCAGAGTTCCACTTTACGATTATCATATTAAAAAAATCTAATCAAAACATATATAGAAAAACAAAAAAAAAGTAATCACAATTATACAAAATTGATTAGTGTGATTAATCTGTATCTTTGTTTATTGTGTGTTGTCTTTTTTTTTGGCAAATTCAACTCGAAATGCAAGTGAAACCACTGTTTACACAATCAGTGGCAACATGATCAAATGTGTATTTAAGATATAATATTGAGATTTCATTTTAAGTTAGCTCAGAGTGACATTAAGTTCCAATTTACTGTAAACCTTTTAACAACACAATTAATAGGAATTTGTTGGTATGCTCACAAAACACACCCAACAACACACAACACAGCACAAAACACAAGTATATGAAATCAACCTATAAAGTAGTGCAAGTGTATTAGGGGACGGGGGTGTAGCAGATCACAGCAGGGCACAGTACATACTGCCAAACAAAAAATGGTGTATTTTGTCTACAGACAACTTCAGATTAGAAGAACCTGCTTTTTTTATTTGGGAAGTGTTAACTGCCAGAGAAACAGTAACGCTCCCTGGGGTGTCCTGGTGTTGAAAGTAACAGGAAAACTGTTGAAAAAGACACGTTGTTCATGCAGTTTCTATTTTCTTATTGCACATTATTATTTATCTTTTATAGTCTTTTATGGCTTTCAGCACTTTGACCACAGCTATTGTTTACTAGTCTGGTTTAATTCAGAGGAAGGACATAATGAATGAAATCCTAACATTCACCTCTCTGTACTCAAGTTCCTTCACTGACATGCTTTTGGTTCCTGACTTGTGTTGTTCAGTCCTGTCTGTCAGACTATTATTATTATTATTATCCCAGCCGGTTTGGAGCTGATGTCACCATGGCTACAGCAGGTGTAAAGCAGCCGTTTTATGTTGATAACACGAATACCAATTTAGTTTTAATTACCAAGAGTCATTTAGGAAGCAGATTACCCCAATGAGTCATTTGCAGGGATCCGCTCTGCATGTCTGTTAAGTGGCCGGTGAAATTAAAGGGGATGCAAATAAACAAGCACTCGTTTTCAGTGATGCACAAGTCTCGCTCGGTATTGGATTAATGCAACTGTGTGCAATGAATTGTTTTGTTATGCTGTATATCATCGCTGCTGTCATTCACAGAGCTGAAGCTGTGGCCCTTTGTCAGACTTGTTATGTAGAAGTATGTTTGGTTTAATACTCTTCAGCTTTTTGGTCAGTTTATATTGTTATCAGTTGCTTTTCTCTTAGATTTCCATGCTACCTTCAGATGGCAGTGTTTCCTTAAGTGGAAGATCATTCAGAAAATAGGCTTATAGTGTTGTACAGTGAATGGGAGTAATTCCTAACAGATGCATCATGTCCATATGGCGGCTAAGCTGTCATCACTGTTGGACAACATCTCCCACCCCATGCAGCAGACTGTGACAGCACTGAGCAGCTCCTTCAGTGGGAGACTGCGGCACCCACGGTGTGGGACGGAGAGATTTCGCAGGTCTTTCCTCCCCACTGCTGTCAGACTCCACAACAAAGACTTTAACTGAACAAACACACACATCCACACATGTGCAATAACACTAAGTGCAATAATCTTTTCTGGCATCGTTGTATTTTTACTCAGTTGTATATAGCATTCGTATTCTATTTTTATCTTATTGTATATTTTTATTCTATTTTATTCTACTGTATATAGTATATTATTTTATTCTATTCTGTACAGCTGTGTACTGTATTTATTCTTATTGTATTCTAATTTTTGCGTCATAACTTTTGCACTGTCCACTTCCTGCTGTGACAAAACAAATTTCCCACGTGTGGGACTAATAAAGGTTATCTTATCTTATCTTATATTTAGTTTATTTCAATTAAAAACATGCCTTTGTTTCTCTCTCTCTCTGCTACTTTTCCCCCCACCCTGGAGGCATCTCTAGCATTCTGTTTGTCAGACTTCTGTCTGCTGGATTCAGATGTCGCTCTTCTCTGTCCATCTGTCTTCTTTGTGTCCTGTGGGAGCTGTGGTACACTACTTTTTACTGTGTTTCATGTGCTGCATAGAAGAGTCGTATTTAATAATGAAACACAGAGAGAAGCACAAAGGGATCTGCAGTGCTCCATAGATCTTAAAATTTCCTCTGTGGCCCTGGCAGTGCTTAGGAGCCCAAAAAATACTTCATCACCTCAGTGGGCACCAGTCCAGACCACCCACTGGATTTCAAGCTGGGCTTCAATGAGAACCTTTTTTCTTTCAGCATGTCTAGGAGAAAATCCTACTGGACCTTTTATGAAAGACATTTTATAATAGTGATTTTGCCAAGTGAACTTTTTGAAAGCCATCACTTTGACCGAAGACATCACTTGAGCAGTGTGGGTAATTACCACCTCCTTTATTTACACGCCACATTTTCACCATGATATCGTATTTCAAACCCGCAAGGTGTCACGGTGTGTAGTCATGACCACCATGACAAACAGGAGGCAGCTGGGAGCTTTTCTCTCCTGCTCTGTTTTTTATCAGAGTAAACTCTGAGAATACCAACGCATTAAAGCCATTACAGCCCAGTGGGAATTGATTTATAGGCCCACTCAGAGGTAATTAGTTTGATTAATTCATTAGAAAGGCTGTTTCTCCCTTAAAATCCTACAGACAGACCCAATTTCTATGGATGTTTTTCCTAGTTTTTCCAGCTGATCATTTCATTTCATTACAATGGAAGAGAGGTGAAAGTGGCCTATATTAAATCTTTCTCAGGTTTGCGGAGACTTCACACAGAAAAAGAGTTTGAGTTCCAAAGGACACAGCACAGGCACACACAGAATATTTTAGGTTTGTAAAATTTGTCCAAACCTGCTGCTTTTGATTTTCATCAAGCTGCTTTAAAGCTTCGTCCAATTCAGACAAAAGTCAAACAAGTACAGTCAGTTAAAAAAGAAAAAAGAAACACTTGAGCATTGATGTACATATACCATAAACCCATGCTACATGTATTCCATGTATCCATTTGTAGTTATGAGCTCACAGTTCCATACTTATTTAATATTTGTTATATATATATACACACACACACATAAAAAAGAAAAGTAAAAAAACAACTTTTGGCTTATTTTATCATTTTCAATAACAGTAATAAAATTTTTCACCTTCACTTGGGGGCCCAAAAAATGAAAACAAATAAAGTTGTCTTCTGTATGAATATCCTTTTCCAGAGTGCAGTGATACTTCCAAAGCATTTGACTTATTTGATATTCAATAGTTTTTTTTATAGCTTTACAGTATATGTGCACATTTCCCCCTTCGTGGTAGTGATGGCATTCAAGTATTTGACTTCCACATTATTATTACTATTAAACTTAACTAATAGATTTTATTGTCACATAATACATAGCTTGGTTTTGAATTTCATAACTGAGCTAAACCGCTCTAGAATGATACATTGACAGGAAGTTAACTGAATATTTGTATAAACTTTTCTTTGAATGTCAATTTGATCCAATGACCTAGGCTTCCATCTCTTTGATGTGGAGGGAAAGCACTGCATGCCAAAACCTCTGATGTATTTCCTTGTTCTTTATGTCATCAGATCGCGTAAAAGATCCAGGGTTCTTTTGTGTATCTGTATATATGTGATCATTTAAAACAACCCCTTAAGACCAAACACAACCTACTGATTATGGATTTTGAACTCTTAGAAATTCATGCAGTCAGTTCTTGGCCTTTGAGTCTTTATTCCTGGAATGTCTTAATCTTGTGCACAGTCAGTGAAAAAACAACAAAAAAGACTGCAGTCTGGATAAGTTTGTGAGTTTGGCGTGAATTGATGTGCCCATGTCTGGCAGGTGTGGGATGCAGCAGAGAGCGGGCGATGCCTCAGGGTTTACACCTGCCATTCGGGAGCTGTGCGCAACGCCTGTTGGACCCCCTGCGGGCGACACTTTCTCACTGGCTCATTTGACAACACGACTGTGATCACTGATGTGGAGACGGGTGAGCAGCAGCAGCATTTCTTTCTGTAGTTCTGAAGAACCAAATGTCAAATAACAAACCACTGGCTTTACTTTTTCAAGTATATCACTGTGATTTTTCCCCTGAACCAAACTCAACACGACATATAATTTTGGATGTTCCCATACACAGGCAGAACGACTGTGGTGTGTATATTACATTTACTTAATTGGCTTGAAGTATGAACCTTTGTTTGATTAGATATTTTTCTCCAACCACGTTGCTGATGTTGTGGGACAACAAAACGCCTGTGCAATTTCACTTCATGCACATTTATTGTTTCTCAAACTCTGATTTAAAGTCAGTGTAGTAATTTATGTGTGGAGTAAATTTAAATTGCCTTGAGCCTCCAGAATCTGTTATGAGCTCATTGTATGAATTGCAGAGCTACTTCTCTCTCTGTCTCTGACTCTCTCTCTATAGTCGTGACTCATTTCAGGGACAACCTTTGAAATCTGAATTCCTCGAGCAAATGTCTCTGCAAAGATGTCTCCAAGCACAGCCAAGAAATGCTGCTTTCTTGCCTTTTAATATCAAAATAAAATAGCAGGTATTTTGTTTTAATGCCCAATTTATGCTTTAGCGGGAAATCTACGTCATAACTTAGACGTAACCACAAACCCCTCTGAACTCTACAACATAACCTGACCTGCACACCCTCAGAAATGCAACTACATGTTGGTTAGTGCTTCTGATAACTATTGTGGTGTACCAAAATCCACTTGGATTTAGGCACTCCAATTCATGTCATCTCATTAAGTTACACATTTGGAACTTGAACACAGAATTTGGCTGGTAGTTGGTGGTTCGATCCCTGGCTGCGCCATCTGCATGCCTTGGGCAAGACACTAACCCTTAAGTTGCGATGCATCCATCGGACTTGAGTGCTATGGTATAGTAGAAGTGATACATATTACTAACAAAGTTGTGAATAATTTGCAAGAATAATACATTTACTTTAGTTAGTTTCCTGCAAATCAGCCTAAAAGTCTACAGTGGGACTACATTCTCTGGCCACTACATTCTCTGGTATACCTGTTCAATGGTCTTTAACAAAATACATAATCAGCAAATTACATTGCAGTGCATTTAAGCATGTAAACAGCAAGATGACATGCTGAAATCTAAATTGAACATCATGCTGCTCTGAGCATTTTAGAAATGGCTGATCTACTGAGATTCTCCCACACAGCCATCTCTACAGGTTACAGAGAATGATCCAAAAAGAAAATAACCAGTAAGCCGCAGGTTGAAAATGCTTTGTTGATGCCAGAGTTCAGAGGAGAATGGCCAAACTGCTTTGTGATTTTTTTGCACTTTGAGCCACTTTGTAGTAATTGAACATCAGTTAGGCGCCACAGTCTGCCTGAGTACTTGTGATCACAGTGTACCCATTTTCTGATAATGATATTGTGCCATGTCACAAAGCTCAAATCATCGGAAACTATTTTCTTGAGCGTAACTGCAAGGTCATTGTACTCAAATAGCCTCCGTGGTCGCCTGATCTCAATCCAACAGAGCACCTTTGTTATGTGGTGAATGGGAGATTCACATCATGGATATGTCAGCAGTTTGACACTATCTTGTCAGGATGAACCAAAATCCCTGAGGACTGTTTCCAGCACCTTGCTCAATCTATGCCATGAAGAATTCATGCAGTTCAGCAAAGTTTACCTAATAAAGTAGACGTGAGTGTATATTGAATGCCTGTAGACTGTTTCATTCAGGTGGGAGGCAGATGTCTCAAATGAAAATCTAAAATAGAAGTCTATCTGTCTATCTTTTTATCTATCAATACAAGCATGGCAGTAAAGATGATAGTAAGTCATATATACAGTCTGCCACAGTAAGACTGCTTATTGAGCAATAAGAATAGTTACCATGAATGTTCTCAAATTCCTTGTATCTGAACAGAGAGAGAGAGAAAATTTCTTTGAAGCCCCCATGGCATCTGCATCCCTAGGGTCAACACATGGCAAATGATGACTTGCTGCCATTTTCACTTCCCCTCTAAGCTTGTCTGTCAATACTGTCAATAAAGCCTACGGATAATAGCTTGGGCAGCCCATTAAACACACAGACAGCTCCAGGAAGTGGATCAATAATGGATACATCACCACAGGAGCAGCTACCATGACCTTATACGGCAGGGGTGCCCAATCCCGGTCCTCGAGAGTTACCGTCCTGCAGCTTTTAGATGCATCCTTGTTCCCACACACCTGAATCAAATGAATGGCTTGTTATCAGGCCTTTGCCAAACATGATGGCATGCTGAAGAGGTAATCAAACCATTTGATTCAGCTGTGTTGGAGTAGGGATGCATCTAAAAGCTGCAGGATAGTAGCTCTCGAGGACTGGGATTGGGCAGCCCTGTTATACGGGATCGTCTCTAACCAAAACCATAAACAAACAAATGCTTTTGGTCATATGCAGCCAATAGCTTGATTGATCTTCATCCTTAAAATTGATATTTTAAGGATGAAGATCTGCATGAGAGCGCAATAAGGCTGCATTTCTATTGCAGCGTGTGATGAAGAAAATTCAATTTAGCTGAATATTAATGTGGGAGTTGGGAATTCCAGACCAGTTTCTGCACTACAGATGTGGTGGAGCTCAGACCAAGTCACGAACACTTTAAAGAAAATCATATTCTTGCAGTGAAAAGAGCACATGGAATAAGCTACATGCATAATTTCCCTCATAATATGTTAAACAGATTCCAACATGCATGGGGTTTGAGTTCTCTTCACATCAAATGCTTTTCTGAAATATATGGCACTCACAACTCACCGAGGTTTTAGCTTAGTTATTCTACCAGCACCCCCCTCACCATTCATGCAGCCTATATATCAATACTAGACTGGATGATGGGATACTCAGAAAGCTTGAGTGTTTGTGATGGCAGACTCTAATCATGATAAATGTGATCTTTATGCTCTTCACGGTAATGCAGATCCTCTTAGCTGTAACAGGAAAAGCAGTTGGAGCTTTTGTGTTCAATTGAGCTCTCTTTGCAGAGGTATACTCGTCCTTGAATAAACAGCGAGAGTCTTCATGGACATCTGACTCATCATTTCACCACTGCATATCTACCCTCAGTGCTGCACTAATCATTATGTTTGCGAAGAAAAGTAATTTCCTATGCCTGTGTGTTCAGAATAGTATGTGGACCCATTTTTCCTTGCAAACCTTTGCAGTTGTTTCTGTGTCCAGTTTAATTTGTAGAACCTTATACCCACTCCCAGCGGTCCAAGGGAAGCTGTCACAGCTGAATAGCAATAGCTTGGGGTGAAAACGATATAGGGAAGGCGAGTAGGTTAAGTGGCATAATGCTAAAAGAGAAACTGAGGAGAGGAATGTAAGATAAAGAGGACTTTTTAAAGTCAGAGAGGCTGAATAGTGGAATAAATTAATTAAGTATGGATGGCATTAGTGTGAAGCCCCAGCTTTTTTTACACACTCTAACGACCGTCTTCAGAAAAGCTGATCGTCTGATGACGGTGATGTAAAATATGTTCACCTATTTACATTCTCCCACAAGTTGATGTGTCATTTCATGCAAGAAAAAAGAAACAAAATTAGATCAGAGAAAAGCAATAATACACAATAGTTGTCTCTTGTAGTGACTTCCAGCTCAGTTTAGGTTTGCATTACCTTATTTGATAACCCAGGTGAAAGCTTCAGTAATAGGTTGGTTGTGAGATGGAGTTTCACATTAGTGCCACGGGCAGGCTTTTTTTTTTTTTGTTCCAGACTGAATTACAAGGCCAATAGTGCAAAACTAAATTATTGAGTCACACTGGGGATTGGAGTCTGGGGGTCATGCAACAGAAAATCTTTCTGGTTTTCAAAACACAGCTTAGATGCTGAAATTTCTTCTCCGGCCATGCAATCCATGTAACCCACACTGTCACGCTGGGTACATTTGAAAAAGTTAGATCAATGAATAAATGCACATTTTCATAAATAAGGAAAGAAAGGGACGAAGTAGTAGCTTGCACACGGGTTAACAAAAAGTCAGATTTTGTAGTCAGTGCTCTTATTTCTTTCATCATATATAAATAAATAGAGAGGCTTTTACAATATTACAGTATAAAAAAAGATCTTTCAGCATTCTTTCACACATTTTTATTCCACTGGAATATTTTCTTCAACATATTCAGTTCATTAGACTTCATTTGCACGTACCAAGAATTAACCACCACCATATTACTGTATAATCACAGGAGCCTCAAGCGTTGCACACCAAGAGGCAACGAATGCAAAAGCACACATCCGCAGTATTATTTCCTCTAAATGCCACCAGTATTTTGACCTACTTTGAAAGCTTCATTTTAGAGTAGCAACCTACTAGGTCAACACAGGCTTTATATAGTCCCCCCCCCAAAGAAAATAAAACAAAAGAGCTTTCCTTCAAAAGACAAAGGATAAAGCCCACATCACAGCATTTCTAACTTACATTAACGCCCATGCACTAGTCAAGAAAAGTGAAGGACTTGGAGGCTTTGTATGAGCTTCCGTGGTGATGGCATTCAAAAGCAGCCAACACGGAGAGGGGAGCATTCCCAGCAATTCAGTGTGCAGTATTTTGCAGTTGCTCAATACTTCATTTCTTTCTATTATTGAGCTTCTTTCCTGCTATTCGAGATGATTTGCTTTGACCTACAGCGTTTAGTCATTTAACTTGTCACCAACATAACCTGACAGCTAAAAAAGAGAGGATAAAGCAAAGACATAGTATTAATTAAAAACAAGATCACAGAAACATATCCAGAGTTAAAATATCAAGGGAAAGATTGTTTCAAGCTGTTTCAAGGCCCATTAAGAAAAATAAGGATTATTTTGACCTGAAAAGCAGTGTAGGTAGAAAAAAGGTGGTGCAGAGAGTAAGCATAGTATGTCAGCTATGACATGAAATTTGTGAGAACAGTTTTTCCTACTTTCATTTAAACACTAGGTTTAAGTTTTGTTTTTGTCATTACTTCCAGTACTACGTCACAATGATTAACTAAGCAGTGGCTCACTTTAGCTTAAAGCCGTCTTGGTTAATGAAAGCTACTATGCAGGGTTGAAGGAAGTACATTAATTTTTTAAAATTAGGATTAAATTAATAAATCATGCACAGTTATTTAAGGATTTTGCTACCTTTTCTATCAAGTCCTAGGGCATGGTTGAAATGAAAAATATAAAAATAAAACAGTCAAAAATACCGTTTATTAAGTCTACATCCAAAGCATTTTTTCGGATGTGGCGTGTCAGACTGAATAATGTGTTTCCTAACCTCTGCACAAGTGCAAAGACAGCACCCATAATGAGGCAGACTCGCTGCTACTCTCTGCTCTGAAGGGCTCATCCCTGCTATCCCAGTCATCCCTAATGTCCTCTGCTCCAAGTCATCCACTGTTTGTCAGCACTACAGCACAATCACAGTTCTTTCAACAGAATAAACTATTGTGAGGGAGGGACAGATCACTGCTGTCCTCACGTATCTCCTCTCGCATGCCAGCTAATTAATCTTGCTTAATTAAAACATGATGAGGAGAATGTTTTCTCATTGTCTTGCTAAACACGAGTTTAAATCTCGATGACAGATCTTCTGAATATCGCTGTTGGTAAGCCAATTAAGCAGGAAGTATGAGCCTGATGAAACTGCCTGTTAAAACTTTGGATCAGACCAGTGCAGTCGTGAGTGAGTGAACTAGTCCCCCATTAAAAGGAGAGAAGGTCCATTTTTGGTGCAGTTTATTAGCTGTGAATCATTCCCCACTTCTAAAAAGTCTTGGTGGGAATATTGTGGAACAAGTCTATAATGAAGTATGTTTTTGTTGTGGGCTAACTGTCTAAGACTGTTTTAGATGTGGCCTTTGTTGTTTGTTCGATGAATTAATGAGAAGCCATTGAGCCCTGAGGTGCTCCACTTTGCATAGCCTTTGACAAAGTTGCTGGCTCATAGTCTTGTTTCATCGTTTTCCCAGGAAACTAATTTTTGGTTGCACCCTGTCAGGCTTAATTATATTTTAGCCCTTCGGTGTTTTTGTTTTATGTTTAAGTATGACATTTTTTAATTGACTGAGATAAAGCAGCCTCTAGCCAAAACAGTACTTTATACTCTGGTTTCTTTTCTCCACATCACATCTTTGTCAGTTTTATCTTTTTGTCTCGAGTGATGCTTAAATCCTCTCAGAAACTCATGTGTACAATGCCGCTGTCTGGAAATAGAGAGATAAAACTATCACTTAGGAAAGTTGTGCACTTTTGCAATATTTTCGATCGGTAGAAACTAGCAAGATTTTGTACTGAACACAAGAGTGCAGGTTGGCTGAAAATGAGCAAACAGTGCTGCAAGAAATAAACAGCTTGCATGGTACAGCACACTTATTTACATTTGATATTTACAACAACAAAAAAGTGTGCTATCCTGAGGATTAGCACTGCTCTTCAGCAGACAGAAATGATGCTACATTCACAATATTCAGGTCACATGGACAGAGTCTAGACACAGTGGAAGGATACACTGTAAACAACTTTCTTTATAAACAGGCTGTATATAAAAGACAGACTAAGTCTCCATGTCTAGATGTAAACGATATAGAAAAGCCTTGAAGGTGGATTCTTTCTAATGGTGAGTAGTTAACAGAAGTAATCTGACTTTATGGAAGTTTGTGAGAAAATGATCCCACTGCTCACTAGATTTATGATCTTAGTAAAAAACTTGAGTTTATGGTCTCAATTGGTAATTTTAAGTCTTGCTTAATGCAACATGATGTTCATGTTGTAAGTTAGGTTCTAATTCAGAGTAAACTATAGAGCAGGGTATAATTTAGGCATGCCTACCCTGTGATTGAAAAAAGGCTCCTGCTCGTGACACTAGGTTTCAATGCAAAAACCAGATCTGGAGCCTTCAAACCAGGAATCCACTAATCAATGGGGGACATCTTGTTGGCTTAGTCCATCTTTAATTTTAAAATATATGAACTCTACACATCTGTACAAGTATTTACATGTGGCAGCAAGCATATCTAAAATTAAAGTACATACATAGCATGTGTAACTTTTGACAGTGTGAAGTGATGAGGAAGGCTTATAGGATTTCCACAACCACCAAGCTTATCATCTTCAATTTCTGCATTTATTCTCATTTATTTAGAATGTTTCTTTAATCAGTCTTTGATTGTAGTTGTCATTTATTTTTACTAAATCTGTGTGTTACATTTATATCATGAAAGCAACTGAAATCTTTAGGATCCCATTATAAAGTAACAGAAATCGAAAACATTTTCTGAAAAATGCATTATCATAATTGGGCAGTTCTGACCATAATACATTTTTGTTAAGCAGTGGTAACAGGAAGATTCTTGGTTAAGGAGAATTAGGGAACACACTCTCCACGCTCTTGTGTGAGTTCGTATTAAACTTGTCCCTGCCTGGAAATCTTTTCTTTCCTTTACTCTTCCATCATTCCCCTGGCCCTACATTACACGCAGAGTTTAATGCTCACAAATGTAATGCATGTGTCAATGGAACTGAAACTGGATCCCCAAAATGTGCTCAATTAATAAACCAAAGAGAAGTATCTGGAAATGTTGCATGTGTGGGGTAATGCAGCTGTGTTTAGTTTGGCTTTGACAGCTGAGAAAGAAAATTCCTGCCATTTACCTTAATTCATATAGTCTCTTTATTTTTTGCTTGTTTTGGGACAATCAAGCAGAAAGTAAATAGTCTGTATTTACTCAGATTTATTGTTGAGCCTTTATTTATGTGTGTTTTTGATACCAGATTAATGATTAGTGATTAATCGTCCAGCCATCTTCTCAGTTTATCAGTGGATCTTTATGTCTGTGACATTTTAATGATAATGAATCAATTAAGCAATAATTCAGCAATTTTCAGTTTTTAGTTGAAGTGCTGATCTTGACATTTATAAATGTGGACGCAGTAAAGAACAGTAAAGTAGAAAAATAACAATATAACAATAACTATAATGATTAATTCAGTTAAAGAAATGTAGTTTATAATCAATCTTGACAAACCTGACACTTCTGCATTCACAAATTAGCAGCATGATGTTGTAAAGTATTCATAGTAAACATACACACACATACACAAACACAAGATTTCTGTCATGTCTTTTTAAAATCAGTCTTTTTTTTTCTTTTGTAGGGCAGCCAACAGTGAAAGTGGACAACGAGTTTAAGGTGATGTGTGCGGCCGTGCATCCCAGCAACCCGGAGGTTTTCCTGTGTGGAGGTTACAGTTCAGCAGTCAAGGCGTGGGACTCTCGCAGCTGCAAGGTCAAATTTATTACCCTCCTTACAGTAGATTTATCATTTTAATTTTCTGTGGGGTTTTTTACCTTCAGAAATCTAAATGAATACAGTTCAAACACATCCTCTTTGTTCAACGCTGCTACACGCTCGGTTTCACATGAGTACAAACATACGAGTCTATATTTCACTTTGTGCAATGACCCTCTAGATAATGCTTCAGCATGCATAGGGAGAATGCAGGTTATATCACTAATTGTTCAAAGCAAATTTTAATTTAATCCTGGCTGCATAAATTATTCCTGTGAAGCTGCAACCTAATATTGCTATTAAGCTTAATGGACTGTTTTATATGATAATCCTATTCACTTCTTCAGAATGTGAATGCTCACATGAATGTTCACTTGGCGAACTGAATCGTTCCCCTGCATGGTTAGACTTAATGCACTGAAGATGTTTCTGCTAGCAGGTGTTAGTATGAGTTGCGGACAGAGAGCAATCCTTAGAAAATATGTTGTTAAGGCTGTATGGTTATGGCTGCCTGTGACTCTTAACCGTTAGCTGTTCCATTCAGGATCAAATTACCCATATTGGATAAAAAATTCAAGTCAGCCACCTATGTCATAATTTTGCTGATATCCAAATGGATTCAAGAAGCAGAAAGGATTTGTGAGACTGATCTGCCACATTATGTTACAGGCCACTCAATCAGCCAATTAAATCTTTATTTTGAACATAAAAGTGCCAAATAATATATCACATTGGAAAAAAAGTTGACTATTTCCCATTTAAAAATGAGCAGGAGGAAGCAAATGCTAATTAATTCATATCCCTATCTAGCTCATACACATATGCTATAATAAATTAAAAAAAAAAAAAAAAAAAAAAAAAAAAAAAAAAAATATATATATATATATATATATATATATATATATATATATATATATATATAGCCAAATATAAAGTTAGAGGATGCTTTAAGCAGCAGGTAAAGGGTTAAAGGTTAAATTCTCAGTGCAGAGGAGCCGGTAGCCATCTACTGTGTAGCTTTTTAAAATTTTTTATTAATCATCAATAAATTGATACTTCAGGGTGTGCTTTATTGCAGATTGAAACCACAACATATATGTTCTCCATTGCTGGGCACTCTGTCATCATTTGACAGCAAGTCTTTACAGCTCAAGGACACGTGGAGCTGTTATCTTGCCTTTCCCCCTTAATGACAGAGGTCTAGATGTTCCTCTCCCCTGTTTATTTCTCTTCTTGGCTGAGTGCTTCTACGGGTCATCCGTGTATATGTATGTGTGTTACCAGGTGGTGAAAGTTTACCAAGCCGGCATCCAGCAGACCTTGGACATAGTCTTTCTGAGAGGCGGTGTGACTTTTATAACAAGCTCTGACTGCGTGAGCAGAGACTCTGCAGACCGCACCCTCATTGCCTGGGACTATGAGACCACAGCCAAAGTCTCCAACCAAATCTACCATGTAAGATATCTAAAGAAAAAAAAGTAGGTCTAATTACATGAGGTTTGGCTGGTATATGAAATTAAATTTATAATCTTAAGAGACTCATTTTTATTTTAACAGTTAAATTAAGTTAAAAAAAATTGTTTAATAATTGTTTAATAACCTTTCTGCTTTTTTATACAGGATAACAGGATAATTCTGAACAGTTTTGAGTGTATATTCTCTTTACTCATCGGAATAGATTGAAAATGATGGTCAAAATAAAAAATATTACTACATATACACAGTGGATTGATCATAATCCTTTATACCATTGTACAAGCTTTTTTTTTTAATCATTAATACACTAGTTAACATGGAGCTGACTTCACTATAAGTAGTAACAAGAAAAGGTCAAATAGTGAATTAATTTCCCTTCTCATTCTTCTTTTCATTTGGCCACCAGGAGCGTTACACGTGCCCGGGCCTGGCTCTCCACCCGCTGGAAGACTCCTTTGTTGCCCAGACCAATGGGAACTACATAGCAGTGTTCTCCTCCCAGCAGCCGTATAGAATGAACAAAAGGCGGCGGTTCGAAGGACACAAGGTCAGTATCGACTGGGGGTTACGCAGGCGTAATCCATACTGAATAGCACTGCAGTCAGATGTACACAGACACACACACACACAGAAATACAACTTCAGCAACATCCCACCCCACACAGCTTTAATTGCAACCTACATGCTTCATTGTCTTTACCAAGATTCATAGCAGTGTTTCCTCCCAAAAAAACAAACCCACCAAATACAATACAACAGTGCCACTGAGGGAGGCAACAGGAGCAGCATATGGCAGCACATTTGAAATATCACTGAAAAATGCAGCACTGCTAGTGTGGCATTTGGACTGTTGTTTACAATAATTGACAGGAAACAAATGGGTATCGCACATTCCAGGTCCATTTTTGCTTTTCTCTTTCTGGTACAGCGCTAAAAATCAACAAAAAAGAAACAACGTGGCAGAAAAGACCAATAAGACAGATGTTTCTTATAATTACCTTATAATAACCTTTGCGTTATTGTGATTATATTACTGAAAGCATTGGTAATTAGCCAGTTGCTAATTAGTTGCTATGATGACTAAAACACAGACATATCTATAATTTTTCTGCTCCTCCTACCATATTGGTAGGACACAATGATCACTTAATGGGTCTTCACCCAAATGGTGCACAAGGTTAAGCTCACGTTTGTTGTTTTACAGCCAATAGCCTGTGAATTTTGATGGATTGTGAGCCTGTTGTGCTACTACATCATTGATGACAAGGTTTTAATGCCGTCTTAACAGAAGGATTACATACTCTAACAAGAAGTTTAATACAATGAGCATGAACTGTAGTAACCCATTATTTTCCACAGGTGCAGTCTATAATTTGAAACCACTTGTTATGTAAAAATATGCACACTTGAGTCTGGGCTTTGTGCCATAAGAAATAACCAGTTGTATTACAGTAAAGTTTAGATGAAGAAGTAATGAGCTTTTATTCAGCTTAAAACACAAAGTCCAAAATTGACCAAAAAAAATACACAAAGCAGGGGTCTAGGAATCATCCAATGCAGAAAACAACAGCAGGATCTCAAAAAAACACGGGGCAGAGACAGGACTATTTATAGAACAAGGACTATTTGGGGATTGGAAACAGGAGGGAAATGAGAGACAGGTGAAAGTAATCAAGCCAATCGGACAGAGTGGAAGTGAAGTCCAAAAAGTGACACGAAAGAAACGGAGCTATCGCAGCAAATCAACAGCCCTAAAATGCCTGCTGAACATGAATACAGGATTCAAACTAAACAAGGGAACACTGTAGGACATAAGCATAAAGAAAGAAAGTTAGGACAAAGGAAGGAAGGACAATAAACTAGAAGTAGGGACTCAAGCTAAATAAAGTATAATGACTGAAAACTAAGGCAACTTAGCAGGGATCGGTAATGCATAAAAGCGGAATATGGTGCTTCCAGATAGTTCTTCAACATTTAGCCTATTTCCAGATTGGATTAAATTCATATTCACCTCAAAATTCTACAATTACCCCATAATGTCAAAGTGAAAAATAATTGCTTGAAATTATTGCATATTTAAAAAAAATAAATGGTAAATGGCCTGTACTTACATAGCGCTTTTCTAGTCCCTAAGGACCCCAAAGCGCTTTATACAACCTGTCATCCACCCATTCACGCACACATTCACACACTGGTGATGGCAAGCTACATTGTAGCCACAGCCACCCTGGGGCACACTGACAGAGGCGAGGCTGCCAAACACTGGCGCCACCGGGCCCTCTGACCACCACCAGTAGGCAACGGGTGAAGTGTCTTGCCCAAGGACACAACGACCGAGACTGTCCGAGCCGGGGCTCGAACCGGCAACCTTCCGATTACAAGGCGAACTCCCAACTCTTGAGCCACGATCGCCACAAATAAAAATATAACATGTACATGAAAACAAAAATTGAGCTCAGGTGGGTTCCATGTCCACTGATTATCTGTCAGATTTTTCTACAACTTCACTGGAGTCCACCTATGGTAAAGTCAATTGATTGTTACTGTGGGGTATTATTGTTTGTCGCATTTCAACAAGGGTTTAACATGAAAAACTGTGGAACACATCTAGCGCTGCGAATGCTTTCGGTTTATTCCACGGCACCTGATGAGATTTATATTTCTGGGGGTTCTTTATGCAAAGTGACGACCTAAAGTGGGTTGGTGTGGATACAGACTTGCATTTCATTCAAAATTTAAACAAGAAAATCACTAAGTAAGAAGATGAGCCCAACTTAAACATTAAAAGGTTAGAGTGTTATTCTGCTTCCTTCTGTAATCCTTTGTCAGTCAAGACTACACTTAAACTGTCTACACAAATCAAGAGTTGCCTCTGCAGTGTTTGTAGGTATAAATCAACAGTATGCAGACACCATCAGGGGGCCTGCACTCTGTCTGTAGATTTGTCCTCCCCTGGGACTTTCCCCAGTTATTTGTGACATTAAATGTAGGCAGGTAAAGGAGGATGAGAGCTGTTCTTTGATTTCCCTGTAACAATTGCTTTTTGTTCTGAAGGTTGAGCCAACACGATTCTGATTAGTTCTCTAAAATCTCCTCTGAGCCGCTATAAATGGATTGTAACATGTTTTTTGTTCTAGGTGGAGGGATATGCAATAAAGTGTGGCTTTTCTCTGGATGGAACTATCCTGGCCTCAGGGAGCTCCACTGGCTCCGCTCACTTCTATGATTATCACACAGCTCATATGCTTCACACCCTCCGTGCCCATAGCCAGCCCTGCCTTTGTGTGTCTCAGCATCCCGTCTTACCTACGACTGTGGCTACTTGTGACTGGGGCGGTGAGATCAAGGTCTGGCACTGACAACCAACTATGAACAAAGAGATTATAAACTTAAAACGTAGCTGGTTGGCCATGAGATGGAAGACTGTATTAAACAGAAACGTCATGTGCACATTTATCTTCAAGACTATAGCTTTCATAATCTCTTGGCAAAAGATAAGAAGAACTTGGCAAAAAATGCTGAAAGTCAGCAAATCTACTATCTACTGATTCATTTGGAAAACATTTTTTTACACTGACTATCTTGCAAAGCTTTCACATCATAATAAAAAAACTAACTCGATTTCAGTCGCTATGGTGTCATCTCACTTTAAGCGTTTTATTCATATTTGTCCCATCTGTTCACATCCTGTAATCTTGGTGGTTGAAATGAAAACAGTTGAAGTTACACTGTATGAGATCAAAGGAAGCTTCTTTACAGTTAAGAGTTCAAAGAGTGAACTATTGTTATGGGTTTTATCTAAAGTGGAAAAGTAGTCTAGCTGCACATATGCCCACAAAAACACCCCAGTGCTTTTATAGTCCTGCCTTTCACCCCAAATACAGCAGGGGATTTCATCATCACCGTAGTCTTTAAGGTTTTGTCAAAATAAAAATAAAAACATCTCTCCGGGTGGTTTTTAATCAGAAGTGTTTTTCATTCCACATTCTGCATACACATCACTTTTCTTATTCCCTTTTCTTCTCTCTGGCTCTGATATGACATTTCCTTTCACACTGCATCAAAGAAAGACAACCAGAGAACTAAAAAAATATGCCATCATCTGTCAAAGCATTGCCAAGTTCTCCCAGAGTCCTGCCAGTCAACAGCAGAGCATTGAAGTGCAGAAGCTTGTGATCTTTATTCAGTATATATAGTAGAAACATCCTTATCCTTGTTTATAGGGAAAAATCTAATGTGTAAATAGTTTCCCCTGTTTTGTAACGCCTATGCTTATTTTACCTCAGTTAATGATACAGAAAGCATCATTGTAGTTGTCTTTAAAAGGCCCCTAAATGATTTTTAAAGCAGTTTTTTTAATTAATCTGCATCTACATACATAGTCCACCGTAAGAATAAGAAGAAAGAATGCCATCCTGTGGAAAAACATACTGTTCCCTTACTACTTCCATAGGAAATAAAGTAGAAGCCAGGTGCTGTTAATCAGATGAGTTAATGATCAGGAAGTGCGACCACCTCAGTAAAAGCCCAAGAGCTACTACTAAAAGTGACGTGGCAGCATGACGTCTGGCACAATGCTCTCTATAAAGTTGGGACCAAAGTGGAGAAGTTTGGCTATAATGCAGAGCGCCATGTTTGGTGAAAACTAAAGAAAGCATATCAGCATGGTGGTGGAGGCGTAATGATTTGGGCTCGCTTTGCAGCCACTGGACCTGAGGAGCTTACAGTCAATGAGTCGACCAGTATTCTAGAGTCAAACAAGAAGCCATCTTTGTCAGATGACATACAAGCCATGCAACAATGATCCCAAGCATACCAGCACCAGAATGGCTGAAAAAGAAAAGAAGCAAGGTGTTGCAATGGCCCAGTCAAAGATTGAAAGATTGAAAGGCTGCAGTGGCACCTTAAGAGAACTGTCCTTAAATAAAAGCCTGCAGACCTTAAAGAGCGGAAGCAGTATTAATATATCAGTCCCTAACAATGAAGTGAGAGACTGATAAAGTTGCACAGAAAACTGTTATTTCAACTTATTGGTGCTAAAAGCGGTTCTGCAACTAAATGTGATAATTAAGCCGGTTAAGGATTTGTTATAAAAATTTAAAACGGTCCCCTACTGTGAACCACCAGATGGTGGTAGAATAAATTACCTAAAATAATATGAAGTCTGCAATCAATTTCCCAACACACATCTTTATTAAGTAAATAAACATACAGCAAAAAATATAGAACCATGCATCAGACAGACAAACGTGACATTTAAACAACAGGCCTGTTATTCCTGGAACAGGGCTGGAGGTAGGACAGGACAGAACCACTTCAGCCTCGTCATTCAAGGTCAAAACATTCTATAAATATAACAACAACTTAAACTAGATAAAAATATTCATATTGTAACAACTGTGTATGAAGTATCTCCTTTTCTACGTTGCGCCCACAACAAAAATACCATTTATATTCTCATTTCCTCTGCACAGTGGTTAAATGTAATTTCAAACCTTTTTCACTGCTAAGACCTAAACAGTCTACCAAATAAGAGTAAAAAAAAATGTCAGTGACCTGTATGGTGCAGTTTTAGCTTCACAAATATGACAATGTCAGAATATTTCAAACAGCCTTAAGCCGGTTCTCAGATGTGCGGGAGTGAGAGACGCATAGCTTTCGAAAATAAAATCTGTCAGTGATGACTTGAGGGCAAAGTTGAGCTTCCGTAAATTACCTTCTCTCTAGCGCTGTTCCTCTCGGCTCTGCAGAGCTACACAGACAGTAAGAAATCCTGGCGTGCATAGATGTTGGAACATTGTCATTTTGTACTCTTCTATACTGGAATAGCAAATGGTAGTATGATTGTTGGGCAGCAGGACAATCTCTCTGCAGTTGTTCATTTAACATAAGGCAGTATTTTATAATAAGGTCTTTGACACTTTCTATGTCTGTATATACACAAGCTTTGTCCATTTCCCAGTGTTTACTGACCATGCTGGTTGAAAACAACACACTGACTGTACATGTTTGTGTTTAGTCACTCTTTACTACCTTTTCAGTGCACTTACCCATCCACCTTTTCTTGTGCATACGTTTCAGAACTTCCACCAAGGCCTGGACAATTTTCCAATTAACTCTCCCCTTAAAGTAGTAGAACCAACAGTGTCGTTTTGCTTTTGTGTATATAGTACCAAAAGTGTTAAAAGTTGGCACATCAGTAGAAATTTTTCAGAATTTCATGTCAGCAAAATCCAGTGATGATCAACATCGAAAAACGTGACTTAATCTGTCTCCTAAAACCTGTGTATGTATATATATTATCTGACAGGAAGAGCATACGCTGTAACAGTAGTGCATACATACAGTGACAATACAGCAGATATACAGTATGTACACAGTTGTTAGATGCTGTAAAGGAGACCTTTCTGTCCACTGGACAGGATTAAGGCAATTTCACAAGTGTCTTGGTTTTTACGGTAACCGCTGTGCAGTATGACTGCTGATGTCATCTTATTTTTGTACAAATATATGAAAAATTTCCAGTTGGGTAAAATGAATGACTTATACCTGCTGCTTTGTTTGAGTTATAGTACTGTGCAAAAGACATGAGCCACCCTTCTACTGACACCATTTCTGATTAGGCGTCAGTTTCCGGTGGATGGGTCAACGTAAAGCCCAGATGCATCTCCCAGGTCCCATGTAAGGTCTTTGGATTTTTTTTTTTTGAAGTTGGTTCAATTGCTGTCAATGGGAATCATCTTGTTGATGCCAAAATACTATTTTTTTTAATCTGTCAGACTGTGTTATCGTTAGCATTTTTCATAGACTTACCTGAAAAAATGGGAACAAATGATCTGTTTTTTGCAACAGGCCTCTAGTAACAGAGTGCCTGAAAATATAATTTAAAATTGGTTCTGTGCTAAGTTGTCTGTTATGTGTCGACACAACACTGCTTCATCCCTTTTGTGAGATGCTTTTTTATTATCATTGAATGATTCGGTGAGGTAAAATAACTGGACTGAAAATGAATGAAAAAAGCAACTAAATGTCCAAAGAAAAACTTTGGAAGACCTTCAGAAAACCTAGAAAACTATTACTCAAAACAACATTTAAAAAAAATAACAAGAAAGAGACAAAACATAAAAGGTGGCTGGAGACTTTTGCACAATACTGTACGTCTGTGTAATAGGTTTTACTGAATGGGTACCTGGTTATATTTGTGTATTTCCTCTCATAATAATTATATTATTTAAAAATATATTTGTATATTTTATAGCTGACAAATGTAGGCAATTTAGGGTTCTTATTAAGAAGTGTGGGATTACTCTATTAGCTATATAAATCTTGCTATGAAATATCATATGGCCTTGAAATAAATATATATTATTTAAATCTCTTATTTAGCCAGTTGGAGAATATTTCCTTCTGGTAAGGGTTGCCTACAGATAATGTCTCTTTGAAAAACAGTTTAGCTGGAAATGTTTTTTCCACCTTATTCATATGCATTACACAACATGCATTTGTGTAAGTGAAAGTAAATTGTTTTAACAGTTTGCAGTCAGCGCAGCCTGCCTAAACCTAATGGATAACCTCTCGCAAACATGCAGAATTAAGTCACCTCATTAAACACACTTCATTTTCAGCACTTGTATATATTAGAGCAAGAATTAATGATCTTTTGCTGGTTTTACTAACAGTACTTAAAAAAAGAGTGAATAGCACAGTATCTTTGTGTTGTAGAGAGAATGTGGTTTTATCCTGGTGCCTCTAAATATCGCCATCACTTAAACAAAAACATACTGACTAGCATGTCTCAGGTCGATAAATACACTGACGTACAATAGAGAAAAAGGTTGCAGACTGCGTGAAACGTGCCGTGGCTAAGATACATAAAACAACATCGGAACACCCCATCACACCAAGTATGTGTTTGCTGCAGGGAGAGATACAGAACAGTACAGAAAGTTAGGACTCGTTATCATCGTCATCATCATGCATAAAATAAAAATCGCTTTCTCCACTCAGTTCAGCAGCGTACCGTATAGCTGTGCCTTGGTCAAACTGTCCTTTCTCGTCAGTCCTGTACTGCCAAACTTTTGGTATCTTGCAGAAGTCTTCTTTGGGAGCGCGGGGCCGATGCTGAGAGCAGAGCTGGAGCTCGGGCGGGGCCGGACGCTCGGCCTGGGGGTGGGGTAGTGTTGAAGACTTGAGGCTTCAAGTGAGCTTTGGTGTAAGGAATCAGCCGAACTGTCTGCGCTCAGATTCACGTAGTCCTTCTTTGCGCTGCTTGCCGCTGTCGCTCCCCCGCTGCTCTCCTTGTCTTTAGAGCTCCCTGAGAGGAACAAACTGCTCTCAGAGTCCTGACTGTCATCCTTGGCTCTATACAGCACAGAAGTTTTCTCCTGCTTGCGATGCTCTTTTGGCTTGGGACTGCGGCTGGGAGAGGAGGAACTCATGGGAAAGCACTGCTCCAGCACCCGACTGTGGAAGACGTCGTCTCCTTCTTGGAAGCTGCTGTAGAGAGACCCTTTGACTTTACTGGAGGGGCCCATGGCAAAGTGGCGTTCAGAGAAACTGTATGGAGAAACCCGCCCTGTAATGTTGCGATAAGAAGATGAAAAGGTGTTGATGTCTTCCACGCTGAGCTGTCTCCAGCGGCTGCTCAGGTCATCCTCGGAGACCTGGACATCACCCTGGCTGTCAAGGGTTCCTCCATGAGCCTGGCCCAGTCCAATTGTAGACCCCATGCTGTGAGAGGAGGCCAGACGAGGAGTGCTGGAGTGGAATGGTTCACTGAAACATGACGCTGTCCTTGTGTAGGCTGGTGAGGGGCCCTTCTGGGGGCTCCTTTGGGTTGCCATGTGCTGGATGCTGTGGGACTTGGGGAAGCTTGATCTGTCTTTATCATAGGAGGAAATACTTTTGTGCTCATAGTCTCCACTACTACCTTCTCGCCAGTCCATGTAGAGACCCTGGTGGGAAGAAGATAAGGTGCTGCTGCCAGTGCGCCCACATCCTCCACTAACTCCTCCCTTTTCATCTGATGCAAGACTAAAACTGGAGTAGGAACTGGACACTGGGAGACTCCCAGTGCCGAACTCATCGTGGTGACGGAAGGAGGATGGGGGTTCATGGTGGGAAAAACTTCCAGAGTGGAAAGCATCTTCATCGGGGTTGCTGTCAACAGAGTTCTGAGCGTGAAGCTGAAGCAGGCCAGTGCCATGAAGGTCGACACTTTGTCTGCGCTCGGTGTCCTGCCATCGTTCAGGACAGTAGAGCGCCGTGTCGCTGCAGTACAGGTCAGATGTCTTATAAGAAAGGCGCCGGTTCAGATGATCAGTGCTTCCTGTTCCTGTCAGAAAGTCTCCATCCTGTGCCTGCGGGCTGGGTGAACGCGTTACAGGGCAACTGCTTCCAGGCTCTGGCTTTTCCAGGACCTTGGCAATTATGGCTGTGGGCACAGCGTCTGGATAATTTGAGTGACACATTGCCATGGTGACGCCACTACTCTGATTATGTTTTTCCATGAGGGAACTGATGCGTTCCTGGAAATCCAGTGGCAGCTGAGGCATGGAAGAGAAATACAAAGAGAGACAAAAGAAGCTGGATAAAGACAGGAAACTACAACCCAAAACAGCAAAACAAATGTTTTTGAAAAGTTGTGACAGTTGCTGAGCTTGTATTCAGCAAAGCTCTTTAAAAATGAATAAGTTCTTCAAGAGCCTTTTTAGCTGAATACTGAATGTATTTTTAAATGCCATTTCTTACTTTTCTGTAGGTCTAGGTGCAAAAATTCTCCTTTGATTTAGACCAGTATATGTGTCTCAGGGGGGAAATGTTTACATTCTCATTCATCCATGCATGGTAGTATTGAGGGCAACTGGTCGTTTTTTTAGGTTTCTGAAGACTTTTGCCTCTCATCCAAGAGGCTTCTTCAGTTCTATTACAACTAGTGGAGGATCCAAGGTATTTAACCACTAGCAGGGGCTGTACCCTTGGAAGTGGCCCTAAGGGTTGGTGACCAACTATTAGTCATAAAAGTCATCACATGAAATAAGGTGTGAAGAAATGCTTATGAAGTAAAACCTGGTACTCTCCACCAGCCATTTGATAAATGAAACCTCTTAAATGAGAGGTGAATGTCTTCATGAACCTAAAGAAGTCGAGTTGGAGGTAGATGCCCTGTCTGACCTGAATTCCTCTCCTGATAACACAAAGAAACTGTGCTACCTTTAATAACTTTCTAAACAACCTTTATTTAGTTATGTGTTACAGAGTCCACAACTTAATTATACAGACATAAGTATTTCTTCTTTCCTTCCTGCTTTCTTCCATCTGTTTCTCAGCCTGTCATCTTTCTCCTTTTCTTGCTGTGTCTCTCTCTCTCACACACACAGACAGACAGACACATAATCTCTTTGATTGGCTCCAGTTTGAGAAAAATGTTCCTGTCAATTACAGACTGGCTCTTTGTGCCTATTAAAGCTGGTCAGGGTCAGCAGGAACTGTTCCCGACACACTGAGCTCTCTTTCTACTCATCCCTTTCTTTATCCTTTCATCTTTCTCCTCTTGCACCACTGCCTTCTCAACCAAAAGACTCTCATTCCCCCCATCTCTCTTTTTTTTCTTTTAGTGTGTCTTTTTATTTCTCTTTCTACCATCAAACAACATTGGTTCCACAGGGAAGGGCTTAGATTCAAATTAAACCAGTTCTCTGGGTCTCCAGCTGGGTATTGGAAAAAAATAGATAAAATTCTGACTTAGCTTTGTTAAGAAATAGAAGCTCGCCTCGGCATAAAATAACCTGCATCTTTTAAGTCGGGGCTATTTTTAGCAGCTGTTGACTCTCCCAGAGGGAATAGAGATGGAAAGTAGGTGAGGCTGTGGGGGGAGAGTGCAAGATAATATACAGTGTGTGCTCCAAGTAAGTCAGCTCAGCATTAGTTGCTATCTGAGGCAGATCTTAATTAACAGTCACATAGTTGTGCAGTGTTAAGCAACGTGACAGCGAACACATCTGCAGGTCTTCTTTTATTACAATAAGTGGATTAATAGCATATCGTGGAGCTGGTTACTTAAAAGACTAGAAATTCACCCCTTGTTCCTAAACTCCATATTTCCTGCTTCACAATGGAGATAAAACATTTCAAATTAAATGTTAGTTTTACTAGCAATAAGACACACTCCATAGCTTCTTTAGTTAATCTTGGTAAATCTGTTACATATCTAAACTGGGGGAAATAGTTAAACTTAGCACCAAAAAAAGTACATTTGTGTTTGGTCAATTATCTCTTTGTTTTAACAATGTTTCTTGGCAATAAATCTTATACTGTAGGAAAGCCTGTTTATTTTTCCTTAAATGGTGCCGAGAAAAATGTGAGAAAAATGCAGACTTAAGTATACGGGCTTGTCTGGCCAACAGCTTATTCTACTATTGACTCTTTTTTTGAGCTTCTGGTACCCCAGGCGCTGACAATCAGGTGCCTGATTAGTGTCACCTGTGAACTACAACGGTCAGCTGTTTTCAGATTAGGAGTGAGTCCTAGTACCACCACCAAATTGAAGGTCAGGGTCCATATAACAGGGAGTGTCAGAGACCAGCTGCAAAGTGGGCGTCCCACAGCATTGTGTGATGACGCTGGTAATGAGTATGAGAAGGTTTTCCAAGCTGTTGTGTATGTGTGTGGTTCTTCCACAAGCTACTGAGGCCCCTATTTCTTAAATTAATAAATTGTTAAATTGTCAGACCTCCAATCCAATAAGTGACGCCAAACAAAAGTCAGTAGCAGACTGACACTTTGTTAATGATTTGAAGCAGTCAGGATTTTCACTATTTTAAGTACACGCCTGTAAGGTCCGCCTGCTCAGGAAACACATGCACAGACCTTTCCTAAGTTTGTCAGTGTACATTTAAATTATTTTAAATGTGTTCTTTAGTGGATATTCTGTCTTTCTCTATTAGAATGAAAAAAATAAAAATAAAACAATTTTATTATTTATTTTGTTTATATTTAGCAGTGGAGCAGGTAATTGGACAGTAGTTCTTTAGTTTCATTGGGCAAATTAAGCCCTTAGGTCTCTTATTTCTAGAAGAATCTCTTGGCTGACAAAATCCCCCAAAGCAGAATTTTTACTGTTTCCAGTCAGCTTAGATCAAAACATGTCTAAATGTTACTCTAAATATGCACAGCAGCTATAGTGCTTCAAAACTGAGGCCAATACTACATGCTCCAGTCACAAACATATTCCCCAGCTGATGCCATTTAGAAGAGTGCAAATGAAAGAGAAGGCAATGTTTGTGGATTGAAGTGTAGCACTAATTACCCTCACTAATGCAGTACAGTATTGCCTGTGTTAATGCATGCAATACTAATGTACTTCTGTGAAAGATTCCTAGATGATTCATGTTTTCTATAGAAAAACATACTTGGCATGCATATTTAAGTTTAACAGCCATATCTGAATCAGTTTCTGGCAGCTATATGCAATTAGTGTTATTGCATTGTGGCTACAGTGCTGCTGTTCAGCAAAGATTAGATGAGCTCCCTATTAGCCAGTGGACTCAATTTCCTGCCCTAAAGTCCTAAATGTGTTTGTTTAAAGAAAAGCATAAAACATCCCCTTTTCAGAGTTTTAACAAGCTGAATTCATTATTGCTCTATTTCATTTATATCAATGGGTTTTTAGTGATGCAAGTAGTCTGTAGGTAGTGCTTCACTTAATTATGAGCCCAGGTCTACAGATTTTTTTCCCTTTCTTTTGTGCCTCAGGCATCATCACAAACCTGCCTTTCATTCATTTATTATGCACAGCTAAGATGCACAGAGATTGTACTTCATCAGTCTGAGAGGAGAGGCCATGAGCGCTGTGGCTCCTTCTTATTGTGAAAACCACTCAAGAAGGCTTTTAATGGTACACCAACACAATATCATAAACTTTGCTTCATTAGAAGAAAAATACATTTAATTTCCTCTTTATTAGTACAAGTAAATGAAACCATCTCAAGCTTACTCGTGGCTGATGTAGTTATGTCCATTAGCCTCAGAGCTAATTTTTCAAGGGATCTTATATCTGTTTTCACTCTTATATGCTTTTCATACAAGTTTCACACAAGACAGATACAAACTTTATAAGATTTATATATATCTTTTCCATATGGGAAAACATCTTTGCTTAAATGGTCGGCGTCGAATTTTAAAGCTGAACTTTTTTTTTTTTTACTGCCGCACAAACCTAAACCTGCACTGATGTAGCTGCAGCAGGCAGTGCTGGTGAGCTCACCTCAGACATCTTATGTGCTCTGTAGTGAGACTTGGAGCACTGCAGCAGCTGGGCTGCCAGATTGCAGTCTTTCCTGTACAGGTCCTGAAAAAAAAGCAAAAAGATTATTCCCATTCACTTAAAAAAAACACACACACACACACACACACACACACACACACACACACACACACACACACACACACACACACACACAGGGTTTTCTTTGGCATCTTGATAACTAAAGCATGCTGTGAGTGAGGAGTGTTATGAGTTTAAACCATCCCTGAGTAAAACCTTTAATACGTTAGATTACAGCCTTCTAATTGTGCTTTATAATTATGGGAGATGTCTGAGGGGGGAATCAGGAGAGTGTGCAACAATAAAGCTGAACATAAAAATATATGTTACCAAGAAGCATATATATGCATCTTGGTTACATAATTTCACTGGGTAGTTTGCAGAATCTTTACAATACCAGCAAACTTTTCTTTAGACATATCTGCCCTGTGCAGACTGTGCTAATTTTATTAGAGTTGTCTGAAACAGCACATTAACTTATCTGCACCTTCCAGCCAAGGAAGCAAGTACAGCATTATTCATCTCTTTACCCATGCTTTCTTTCTGAAAAGAATGGTTATTAAATTTTTGCTCAAATTTCAGAGCACCGTGAGGGTGGTCTACTGGCACAACAGATGCCTGGTTTCATTGTTTTCTTCGTTTACTGTGCATGCATGTGTTAGTGTGGGCGGTTAACTGGTTTTAGAAGGTTTTCTTTTCGTCTCCCTCCTCTGTTAAACCTGTCCACTTATAAAGGTCAGTTCATGCTGCACTGTAGCTTTCCTGTTTCTCTTTAATAGCACAACCCTGACATTTTCCCCCCATAACATCAAAGCCCTCTCTTTGACAGTCTCAACTCCCCCACCAGTTAACAGTGGCTGCTTTTTGAATCTTTTTTTCCCCTGTTTTGGTGAAAAGAGACATTTGAAGTCCCTGTAGTTTTTCGGGACAGTTCAAATAGACCTTTGAGACCTTTGGTGATGTCTTAGTTAATATGAACTGTGTGGTGTGTCTCTCCTGGGAGTGCCAGCTGACAGCTTTGTTGCTCCAGCTGGTTGTGAGGCAGACTTTGTGATGTCTTATGATCAGTTCTTTATGTACACTATATTAATAATCTCTGAATGTGTGAATTGAGTAGATTCTTTCCTTCAAGTTGTTGTGAAATTAGAGCCATTTACTTTCACAGTCATTATCTTTGTAGGTAATTTATTACATTTGAACAGTCTTTGGGGATCATCAACATCTTGATGCCCTCTTTTGCCTGTCAATGTGTAGGATATGTAACAACTTCTACAGTACTGTGCAAAAGTCTTGAGCCCCGCCTTATTTCTTTATGCTTTGCTTCTTAATAGACACACCTTTTTGTAATGTTTAAAGTGGTCCTGAAGTGTACTTCTCCAGGTTTCCTGAAGGTCTTTCAATTTTAGAAGAATATTTTTTGTTTTTTTAAGTCACTTGACACTGACCTATGAAGCATTCAAGCATAAAATACCCTAAGACAAGCCTAAGGCCTCAGTTCCTAATTTATAATTCAAGGGACAAACCAGCATTGTTTGCACATAACAGACAACTTAGTGTATTTGGACACTTTACTAGCAGCCTATTGCAAAAATACATAATTTGTTTCTATTTCTGTAGTTGGCTCTTTCAAAAATGCCAAGAGATAACACAGCTTGACACATAAATGATATTTTTACACCAACCACCAACCAAAAACCCTATCCACTGCAGATGAACAGGATCATGTCCTTAAATACCATGTATTTACCATGCTCGTGTATGTACCATGTACTATGTTAAAGCCTGTTAGAATTGTGAAAACTCAAGTTTTTGCCTTATACTGTATTTCCATGTATGTTTGTACATTTTTTAATAAACTGCTGGACCTGTTTTCCATTTTCCTTGCAAAATATCAAGACATGAGGGGTAATTCAGGACAATTGCAAACTGCTGTAGATTAAACGGCTTCATCAGTTAAGTGTAAAGCAAACACACAATTCATTTGTAGTGTGTTTTGTGGCAGTGGGTCTCAGGCACTGTGACCCACTGACACAACTGTGAGGTTTTATTTTATTTCTTTGTGTTTTGAGCAGAAAATTTGACAGTTGATCTCCAGAGGAAATGTCTGCCTCACGGCTGGCACTGCTGGGACAAATTCTGAAACCTACTCAAAATGAACCTCGTCTCTAATCACCTCCGCTGGATGTTGGAGGGGAGGATTGTAAGAGGGCTCTATAGCTCAGAAGTGCTAAAAATTTGCCATAGAGCGGTAAGAGAAAATCTAACTCATCCTAGAGCCCCTCCACAAGAAAAAAACAGTAAAATCACTTCAAAGAAAAGCGAGGCACCAAATTTCCACATGCCGTTGAGCTCAGGTCTATGCAGCTGTGGATTCAACCTCTGCCAGCCCCGAGGATGCCCATTGATTTCAGTTCTATCACTATAAAACATCCAGTGGCTTAGAGTTAATTCCTCTATCTGCTGTGACACCTTGAAGCACAAATATTGAGGATGTTGCAGAAATACAGTGAGTGTGACTTCCAGTTTGACATGAGGAAGTGCTCTCCTCAGAAAGAGTTGATTTTTATCTTCCAAAACCAACTGTTGTTTTGGTGCTAACAAGGCACCAAGTAAGTAAGGAATGAAGGCAGCTGCCCCAGGGCATCAAGTCTCTGTACCCTGGATTTCCTGGGCTACTGTGCCTGCAGGCAAAATATAATCTGGGCAAGCAATCATACCAAAAAGTTCAGAAACTGTCCAAATAACCTAGCTTCAGGTATATTCCCAGTGCTGACAAGAGGTGTTATGGGGAACTTACATTATATAGATGGAGTAGCTTTAAGTACTCACATTGTCCTCTCTGAGTTTATTAATGGTGATCTTCGCCTCCATGAGATGATTGTTGAGAACAATGATTTCCCGGCTGAGGGCTCTCTTTTCCTCCTCGTGGTGCTGTGACTAGAGTGTAAGAGAAAGAATGGACAAGTTAAAAGAGAAACTGGAGAAAAACAGAAGGAAAAAACCCCAAGGATGACAGAGTGGATGATAAGATGAGGGGCAGGAAGTGAGGGTTAGAGAAAAGAGATAACAAAAGAGATGAGAGAACCAAAGTTGGAGGAGCAACAGAGGTAAAACAAGATTATAAAGGAGCACAAGAAAAATGAAAGGGGGAAAGTCATAAGTCACTGTCAGCGTGAAGCTGGGGCTAGCACCAGGACTTAATTAAAAGAAGATTACACTTGCCAGAGCTCATATCATATCAATTACTCTGGGAGTAAGAGAAAGAAGCATGGAGGGGAAGCGAGCGAAAGATGAGAAAAATAAAGTGGGTGCAAGAAAGACAAATGAAACACTCCATTTCCAGTGATTACTGTCAAAGAAGTGCAAAATGACCTGTAGTGACATTTGAACCACACTAACAGCCGAGTTTAATGATGGCTTCTATGTCTCTCTCTCTCTCTCTCTCTTTGTGTCTGTCCAGTCAGCTCAGCAGCTGTTGGCCACTTAATCCACCAGCTTGCCACAGATATCACCCCTAATGATTTTGGTGGCCTGATCGCTCATCTAATATAATCGAAATTCCTTTATTTGCACGTCTAAACTGTAAAAATAGGAAATAATTCATTCTTGCTAAATTGGCGTGTGACAATCATTATTCTCAGCCAACAGGCCAGTCGTAACAACGCCATGATCTTTTATAAAGATTATGACCTGTGTGAGAGTATCGTGGGATCAGGTTCTTTAGCTCCACAAACTAAATGCATCTCATAACAAACAATGATTCTGGCATGCAGTTAAGACTTCAGCCTCCAGGGGGCAGTATAGGGTTCTTTTGGCTTAGAAATTATGTTTTGTTTTTCTTATTCACATGTGTCACACTGGCATACACACATACACAAAGTTGTAACTGTGAAACCTGTCACACAGCACCAGCTGTCAAATGATACACTCACTTGGCCTCCCACCCTTTTTTCCCTCCCTCCTTCTAATCTCCCAATGGTGGTGATTGTTTTGAAATACAGAGGTGCAGCGCCAATCTAATAGGTGGCAATTAATGTCAGTTTAAGCAATAGAGCAGCATTGATATTCAAATCCAATTCTGTTACGGTCTCATTAATCAGCTGTCGAGACAAGCGCCTCCCCGCTGTTCTTTCTCCAGCTCATTACTCCTGCCTCCAGCTCGTTCTCACTATGTGGATGACCACATTAGGTACATTTTTAAGCTCAGATATTTAATTTGTCGCTTTCCTTTCTTTGTTAAAGTGATGTTGTGTTGGCTCAGAGACAATCTCCAGCTCAGATGTTAATATGACTGGTGTTGTGGTTTTACACATGGCTGCTTTTTATTTTTTATTTTAAGAGTGACTCTGGACTTTAAAAACTGCACAATCGGCCTCATTTTGCAATACGTGACTTTTTAATGCGACTTTTTTTTTTGCTGTTTTCCAGCTGTGCAACAAGCTGCAAGCAACTTTAGTAATCAGCTGGAGTTGTGTGTGTGCACCCCCAGTGAAAGCTCTGGCATTTACTAAGTTTGGTTTAGACTCCACCAGCTACTAGTGCCTGACTCCATCTGTGCTCCCTGTAATGTTGCGCTTTGGGCATGTAGAATAGAAGGTGTTTATCAGAAGGCCTTTTCATTGAATTCAGCTGCCTAATGCATTTGTAAATTATGACGACTAGAGCAGCAAAGTAGAGATAAAAGGCAGCAGCCACACTGTGGGAAGCTTTATAGTTAAGTGATAATTCTGTGTGTGCGTGTTTATCACTTGTACATCAGTAATTTGATTCAGTGTTAGTACAGAAATATTGATTAGTGCATCTTTCAAACCCGTCTAATCGATTGACCGGAGGCTCGAGTGTATCTGCACTGTGATAAATGTTGTAATAAAGAGTAGAAAAAATGAATCAGCGCAGCTTTAATGTTAGTTAGAATTCAAGCCTGTTTCATTTACTACATATAACCCAATAGAACAGGAACACAGCCGCTATCATCGGCATTAAAAGGCATCTTTAATTTGCGATTCTTCTTAATGATCTTTGGGTCTTCTATTGCATTTTTGCTGAAAATTATAGGAAAACAGGGCACAGAGTCTGCTTAGAGACAAAAGAGACAGAGGGCATTCTTAACTGTATAGTCATCATTGATCTTGTGCTGTATTTTAGAGAGAAGAGGAAAATGGGTTTTTATTTTCAGAGTTCTAGCCAGCAGAATTTCAGCTGTGCACATTGATTTTTGCTATCTCCAGCAGTCACTTTGTGTTGGATACACATGGCGTTCTTATCTATTGGTACCACACAAACAAGGAAACTGCATCAAGGAGAATTAATATGCATATTCTGACAATCTTATCTTATTGATTGACCCAGAGGAGTAGGGAAGATATTGTTTCCCACCCTAATGCATTGCACAGAATTAAAGCATCTCTTTTTGTCTTTCAAGTTTCTTCCAATCATTCACAGGAATGGTTGACCATTAGTGGTCAAGTTTAAGGGTTTGTTCAGACGTCATCTTAAATGACTCCTTTAACAAAGTTATCTCCTCTCCCAGTTGGATACGTAATGGAACAAATCAAAAACTAAACTCACGGGGCACGCTTCAATTATTGATCAGGTGAATTGAGTGCACAGTGTATAAAATGAGGAAAAAGTGTTTTTCTAAGACACCCCGGTTTGTTTTATGTATTCTGCTGGAGATTCTGTCTCTTCGCTGGGCAACAAATGAAGCCTGAGTCCCATGAGATGCAATTACTGAGGACTTCGGTTCACAGAGGAGAGCAGAAAACTCTGCTCCATTTTAAATACATCCTTATTTTAAGAGGGAAAAGGAAAGAAACAAAGTAGATTTCTAACCTCATTAAAGAGGATTTTGAAATCAAGACACCAAAGATAACCACCACCCTGCTAAAAGCAGATTCTGTATGTAGCGAACACTTATAGGTAGAAGGAGATCTAAGAAGTTGTTCAATGGATACAATTAAAGCAGAAGTAAATCTCTGGGTGATCCAAATTGATTATGTTAAGATGAACTTGCCATGTGAAACAAACAATATTTATAGGAGGAAATAAGCCTCAATTTCAGTCAGCATTTCAAAGACAAGGAGTTATTTTTAAATTGTTTCCTGTAGAACTGAAAAACCACCTAGCTTGGCGTATGTGGGTAATCCATCATGATACAAATTTACTTGACTATATTTTGGAAGTGTTCCAGGTGATGTGGAGGGGGATTTGTGGGCTACACTGCTGGGAAATCAAACCTTACCTATTATAAGAAAATACAGTGTACATAGAAAAACTAAAAATCCCTCCATGCAATTTCTTCCACTTATCCAATTCAGGGTTACGTTGGGCTGGAGCCCAGAGACCACCAATCATGCTCACATTCGTACCTATAGCCAATTTAGAATCACCAATTAATTAATGTGCATTGTGCATGTCTTTGGACCGTGGGAGAAAACTGGAATACCCGGAGAAAACATACAAAACTCCATACAGAAGGCTCCAGCCAACCGGTGGAGTCTAACCCAGCAGATTCTTGCTCTGAAGAAACCACTGTGCCATCCAATATGTAATAAAAATGTGCTGAAAATACTTCAAAAATTCAGGACCTGTATCCTGAAACTGTGTCTGCTGAAAAATAGATGTGTTTTAGAACACAGGAGCTTTATTGCTAAGATGAATTAGTCTTATTCTTATCATTTTATTTTACTGTCCATTCTGTGCTTCTCTCTTCCAGAATCAGTAGTAAATGGTGAAATGCATCAAAACTGTCTGGTTTCACTTTGATGCTGCTCTCCTACATGTAATTTTCACATTTTATTCAAGAGTTATGATTAATGGCTGTGGTGTTAATGGCACTAATTAGTGCACTGCAGACAGAGCATGGCTCTGCTCCCTGAAGGGCACAGAGTAACCCATACAGGCAGGTATAACACTCAGAATCGACATGCTTTCTCAACCACCAGGACTATTATTCATCTGCTTCCTTTTACATGGTGAAACGTAATATTAATAATAATAGAAAGAAATCTCTCTAAATCAGGCATCTGTATGCACTGATCTTAAAAGAGATCACACTACACACCTTTTTGAAAAGTGTGACTCAATTTACACCATGAAGCACAGAAAATAACCAACCTTAAAAACTCTGTGATGGTTAGCTGACTGACTATCAACTACGTGACACCTCACAGTCATGTCTCCTCCAGCAGATTTCTGCTAACATCTTTGTCATGATGTTGATTAGTTATGGCATGTAGCACAAAGTTTTATTGTAGGGAAAAAAACTGCAAGGAGAGTAATTTGAAAGTCAGTACTGATAAAGTAGAATGTGGAGGTCCCAAAAGAGCGAGAAACCGTTTGTCAGCAAATAAGTTGGGGTGCAGATTGTGAAGTGCTATACAGAGTCACATAAACTGGACTGGACTGAGTGATAAACTGAGAGCTCAAAAGGTGGAGTGGTGAGAGAAATACTGAAGTATAAGTATTAAACTAGTGGTATCAAAATATATTGTTTTAAGTACCACAAGTAGAAGAACCCATAAGCATTACCACCTATTTTGTTTTAATGTTATACCGTAATTGTCTTAATAGCTGGTCATTTTCAACTCAAGACTGATAAAATTGTGGTCCCCACTGGTCCCTTTATTAAGTACACCTTGGACCCTGTTTGCCTTCAGATTAGCTTTTTCTTCTTCATGGCATAGAGTCAACAAGGTGATGGAAACATTCATCAGAGATATTGGTCCACGGTGACACGACAGCATCATAACCTGTGATGTGAACCTCTCGTTCCACCGCATCCCGTTCAGATGACAGATGACTGTGAACTCATTGTCATGTTCAAGAAACCAGTCTGAGATTATTCAAGCCTTGTGACATGGCATGCTATCTTCTTGGAAGCAGCCATCAGATGAAAGGTACACTGTGGTCATAAAGTGGATTTTGCAATATTTGCC